CCGGGATCACACCACTGCACTCCAGCCTGAATGAAAGAAGGAGACCTTGACTCTAAAAGAAAAACAATGTTCATTTATGTAAGACGGAGAAGAGTTGAGGCAAGGGAGAAATGGAATGGCTTGTAAGAGAATCAGGGAAGAAAAGCAACAAGATTAATTTTTAATTTCTAGAGGTGGGAGTGGATGGTGGGAGAGAAGGCTAGAATATCCATCATGTTTTTTCTACCCTCAGAATGTGGATGATGCAATGACAGTGCTGCCTAAACTGGCCACAGGTCTGGATGTCAATGTGAGGTTCACAGGCGTCTCCGATTTTGAGTATACACCCGAGTGCAGTGTCTTTGACCTCCTAGGCATACCTCTGTACCATGGCTGGCTTGTTGATCCTCAGGTGAGGGTGGGAGGGCCCACCGGGACCTTATCCAGCTCAAGCTGACATGAGAGAGGCAAATTTTTGTGGGGCAGAGGTTAAGGAGTTAGGGGTAAGTTTGGCTTGGGAGGGAAATAGGGTTTGGAGACTGGACCCCGTACAGAATTCCTTGAATTTTAACCTATTTTGAGGGTAACATACAAATACAAACAAACTGCATGCAAATAGATCAGTTCTTTAGACATCAAAAGTTCAGGAACCAGATGGGCTTGGTGGCACATGCCTGTATTCCCAGCTACTGGGGAGGAGTTTGAGGCTACCCTGGGCAATATAGGCAATGTAGAGCAACCCTGTGATGAATGGTTCCAGACTTTTTTTTTTTTTTTTGAGAGACAAAAAAAAATGTTTAGGAACCATTCATCACAGGGTTGCATTCCTTGTGAGCTTTGTTCGTTTCCTTCCTTAAAAAAAAAACAACAACAATGTTTTTGGTATTTCACCATCCCACTCACTACCCAAGCAGAGTCCTGAGGCTGTGCGTGTGGTTGGGAAGCTCAGTTACAACCAGCTGGTGGAGAAGATCATCACCTGCAAACACTCCAGTGACACCAACCTTGTGACAGAAGGTGACATTCCTCCCCTTTCATGGATATTATGTGGCGGGAATGATGGCTCCTGAGGCTTAGTTTTTATTGTGTGTCCTCTCCCACCACATCCTACTAGATGTAAGTTTCACAAGAAGGAGCTTGGGGAATTTCTGTTTCGTTCACTGAGGTATCCCCAGTGCCTGGCATGAGGCAGCGGCTCTATGAGTACAGTATTTGCTAAGTGAATGAATACAGCCAGATTTCAAGAAGGGGACGTCAGAAGGTGGGACTGACCCCCAGGGCTTTTGACAGGGGCTCGCTGGATGGTCCTTCCTGTTGGACACCTTGAATTTAAGCCAAGTTTCCCCTGACTTGTGCCGCTGTGACAGGCCTGATTGCGGAGCAGTTCCTGGAGACCACGGCGGCCCAGCTGACCTACCACGGGCTGTGTGAGCTGACTGCAGCTGCTAAGGAGGGAGAACTTAGTGTCTTTTTCCGAAACAACCACTTTAGCACCATGACTAAGCACAAGGTAATGAGGGTCTGGGGGCGAAGGGCTGTGGTGCCGTCATTTCCTCGTGCCTTTTTCTCATGGGTCCAGCTGGGATCAGCTAGATTAAGCCGCGGTAGCAAACGACCCCTGAAATCCCTGTGGTTTGCTTTACCACAGCAAAGGTTCATTTCCCACTCCTGCTGCATGTCCACTGTGGATTGGCTGCGGTTCTGTCCCCCCACCACCTTCACTGTGCGGCCCAGCTGACAAAGGATCCTTTATCTGGAATAGATGCAGGGAGAGAGAGAGGGGGGCACTGTGCACTCGTGCTTAGAGCTGCTGCTGCTTCTTTTTTTAAGCCTACGGCACCCGGTATTCCCAGGTCTCCCATCCAAGTACTAACCAGGCCTGACCCTGCTTTGCTTCCAAGATAGACGAGATCGGGCGCATTCAGGGTGGTATGGCCGTAGACCTTAGAGCTTCTGTTCGGAAATGTCACGTATCATTTCTGCTCACATCTACTGGCCAGAGCAAGACATAGGGATAAACCTGCTGTCAATGGGACAGGAAAATACAATCCTCTCCTAGGAAAGGGCAGTTGAATTTTTGAACAATGCTGGTCTTCAAAAGTTAGAAACTGCCGGACTGGGCATGGTGGCTCACGCCAGTAATCCCAGCACTTTGGGAGGCCGAGGTGGATGAATCACGAGGTCAGGAGTTCGAGACCAGCCTGATCAACATGGTAAAACCCCCCTCTACTAAAAATACAAAAATTAGCTGGGCGTGGTTGTGCGCGCCTGTAGTCCCAGCTACTCAGGAGGCTGAGGCAGGAGAATCACTTGGACGCAGGAGGCGGAGGTTGCCGTGATCCCCTCGGCTCACACCACTGCAGTGCACTCCAGCCTGGGCAACAGAGCAAGACTCCATGCCCCTCCCCCACAAAAAAAAGTTAGAAAATGCCAAAGCTCTCTAGGATTTGAGCAGAAGCAGGAGGGGTCTCTGGTTCCCAAAGGCTTTATCCTCAGAGCCCAGAGAACAATGGGAGATGAGGGGAGCAGGGTCTTGTGTGGCGTCTCAGCCCCGAGGACTCCACGCTTGACGTAAATGACCACCATGCTCACACCCAGCTGAACATATGCTCAGACGTCCCGTTCTTCCACATGCTCATACTGGCATCTCCCACCTTGCACACCAGCCTATTCAAATGGTCTCCAGCTGTGCATCTCAGAAGATTTCTGGCAGTGAACTGCCTCTGTATCATCTAGCCTGCAATGAGCTCTGTTCTTTTCTTCGTAGAGTCACTTGTACCTACTGGTCACTGACCAGGGCTTTCTACAGGAGGAGCAAGTCGTATGGGAGAGCCTGCACAATGTGGATGGAGACAGCTGCTTCTGTGACTCTGACTTTCACCTGAGTCATTCCCTGGGCAAGGGGCCTGGAGCAGAAGGTGGGAGTGGCTCCCCAGAAAAGCAGCTGCAGGTAGACCAGGTGTGTAGGGCCCTTAGGAAAAGTGCGGAGAGCACATGTGCCTCGGAGAGCTTTTTGCTACGCGCATTTTAACACTAGAGGCCACGCGAACCCATGCCTCCTCACTCTCTGGGTTACCTCAGGCCGGCTCCTCACTTGGTGTGTATTCTCTGGCACCACAGATAATGCACTTGGCTGTGTGTGCTGCTCTGGAAGGAGAAAGAGCTAGAGAATTTGAGGGATGCAGAAAAACTGATTTGGAAACCTCGCCTGAATAGCCATAGCCTTGGGCTTCAGCCCACCTACAACTCTTGTTCTTCCCAGGACTACCTGATTGCTCTGTCCCTGCAGCAGCAGCAGCCACAAGGCGCGCTGGGGCTGACCGACCTGGAGCTGGCCCAGCAGCTTCAGCAGGAGGAATATCAGCAGCAGCAGACAGCACAGCCAGTGTGGACACGGGCGCGGACCCTGTCACTGCAGGTGGGCTGCTGCTCTGGCTCCCAAGCTCCCGGTTTCCACCTCGTGCTTTGCTGGGTCCAGAGCACCTGTTATTTCCACACTGGTCTCTTCAAGGTTTCTTTTCTCAGGGCCCTTCTCCTGCCTGTCTGTCTCCCCTGGCGCCCCTTCCTGTCTTCCTCTCCCTACTCCCTGTCCCTATCCTGACACCTGCTCAGTCTAGAATCTCTTCTTGTGCTCTTCTGAGGCAGTTCAATGACCAATTGTTAAATCCGGTACAGGGGAGAGGAGCCACATCTGGACGCCCAGCTGGGGAGCGTCGGCAGAGGCCGAAGCACGAGTCAGACTGCATTCTGCTTTAGGTCCGCCCCAGTGCCAGGCTGGCCTGCCCCTTCTTCCAGAGGCTATGGCTAGTTGGCTTGTTCCCCCGCCTCTACCCTTGAGATGTGCAGGATAACTTATTTATGGACTGTTGGGGATCAGAGCAGGCGACAAATGCAAAGGTCAGACTTGGTAATGTCCTTGACCTCGTGCTGCTGCCTTCTCTGCATCCCACCCGGGGTAACACTGGGACTGATGGGCTTCTGGTTCTCAATGTCCAGTCCCTGAATAGTCACACATATATACAGACTGAGGCTCTGGGGAGGTCTCTATCTGGAATGCATCTCTCCTGCGTCCCATCCCTGCTGCCTGGATGCTCCTGGCCACCCAGCCAGGCCTGTCTCCAGTTGTTTCAAGACTTAATTTGGGTTTCTATCTCTGTTATTTGTAATGCCTTCCTGGGGTTTGGAAATAAAATTTCTGGCCGGGTGCGGTGGCTCACGCCTGTAATCCCAGCACTTTCGGAGGTCAAGGTGGGCAGATCACCTGAGGTCAAGAGTTCGAGGGCAGCCCGCCCAACATGGCGAAACCCCATCTCTACTAAAACTACAAAAAATTAATTGGCCATGGTAGCAGGCACCTGTAATCCCAGGTATTTGGGAGGCTGAAGCAGAAGACTCACTTGAATCCTACAGGCAGAGGTTGCAGTGAGCCAAGATCGCGCCACTGCACTCCAGCCTGGGCAACGAGAGTGAAACTCCGTCTCAAAACAAAACAGCAACAAACCAACAAACAAAAAAACCTTATTTCCTGAGATCTGTTGTTTGCCTTACCCTGAAGCAACGGGGTTAAGTATTTGACCCAACTGAAGAATGCAAAAAGTGGGAGTTGAATCGGGGGGGAAGGTGGTTACCTGTCATTTCTTTCTTTCTTTCTTTCTTTTTTTCCAAGAGGGAGTCTCGCTCTGTTGCCCAGGCTGGAGTGCAGTGGCGCAATCTCAGCTCACTGCAACCTCCATCTCCCGGGTTCAAGTGATCCTCCTCTCTCAGCCTCCTAAGTAGCTGGGACCACAGGCATGCACCACTGCACCCAGCTATTTTTTGTATTTTTAGTAGAGATGGGGTTTTGCCATGTTGGTCAGGCTGGTCTTAAACTCCTGATCTCAGGTGACCTGCCTGCCTTGGCCTCCCTAATCGCTGGGATTACAGGTGTGAGCCACTGTGCCTGGCTACCTGTCATTTCTAATTTAGCCAGCAGGGGGAACCAAAGCCTGTTTTTGTGTTTGTTTCTGTTTTTGCTAAGTATTTATGGGAAATAGTGCTCTCGTGGGAGGTGCATTTCCAACTCTCTGCTTGGACACGTGAATTTGAGGGTTGTGCTTTCTGCTAACCCAAGAGTTCCCGGGCTGGCGAGGGTAGCTTGACCCTCCGCTTGCTTCCCAGTTCATACAGATGGTTGGCTGCTCCCTCTGACCATTTCTCATCTTGTTCTGGTGCCTGTTTCTCAATTGTTTTGCCTGAAGTTTCCTGGAGAATGAGGGTGAGGGGAGACATGGAGAGAGGGTGGGCGTTGATTCCTGCAGCACTAGGGCAAAACAGGATTCCTGCTGAATAGCCAAGCTCACATCAAAGGCACCTCAACTCCAAGGCCTCTTCCTGCTCCATGTCCTGCTCCACCCAAACTTCAATCAGAGAACCCAAACAACAGTGAAGTTTGCCAAAAGAACTCAAGTATCAGCGAGATGTTCTGGCCAGGGTGCAGGAGGGATGATTGAGACAGAAACGATCAGAACTCATTTCCCCACGCTCGAGAAGGAGCTGGATGACCCAGGTACAGATATAATTTTGAGATGAGGAAAATTAAGGGATTTTAAAGAAACCGTTCCAGCCTCAACAAGAAGCTGGAGCATGTGGTGCTCAGTGAGGGGTTATCCTACTTGGAGGCCCAGCAGGTCTCCTGCAGGTTCAGCCAAACACGGAACTCTCAGATCCTCGCACGTCATGTGGGGTGGGGCAGAGAAGTCTCACATGTCTTCAGCCCTGCACAAGGCCAGGAGGGCTGACTGGCAATCCCCTTTCACTGCATCCTGCAGACAAGGGAATTCAGTGTTAGAAAGATTCACCACCACTATGGCCCAAGTACTCTCTCCCCTCCTTTGGGCTGGTCCATCACAGTTCATCTGGAAGGGAAGGGTCCTCCCTGGAGCTCAGAGTCCTGCACTACGTTAACCAAAGACTCCTGGGTTTCTCCCGGCCAAAATATGCTCAGCTGTGTGCAGGGAGAGAGGGTGGAGGTGGGGAGTGAAGGCGGTGGGGCTCCAGGCTAAGAAGTAGCCAAGTTTCACCTGGAGAGAAGAGTAAAGGGACTTCCCAAATTTCTTCTTGAACTCAGCTCTGATACTTAGAAGGTCGGTCTCACATCGAGAGGTAAGGATGCGAATCAGGACTTGGTAATTGGGCTCAGTTTCCTAGTGGGGGAAGAAACAGATGGTGGGTAATTGGTGAGAGTCTCACTGAGAGAAGGGATTGAATGGCATGGAGGGTTCCTGTAGGAAAGGGAGGCAAGGTGGGAGTCAAGGAATAGGAGTATACATTATACATTATCTTGGACAAAAGTTATCTTTGTCCGTCCTCGTGAAAGATGACACAGCAGGAAAGATCAGTCTCTGTGGAGGCAGCTTGAGTATTTACTTCTCTCCCTCCTTCCACATGTTTTTCCTGGCCCTGCCATTAGCTTAGAACCGTGCACCTCCACAGTTTGGTGGTGAGCAGCTCCAAAGACAGGTACACCAGGAAGGCTGGAAGAGACTTGGTGCATATAAAGACTGCCAGTAGGAAAACCAGGAACACTGTTTTCAACTTTTAAGTTAGTGAATGTCCAAGGAGGATAAACCTGAGCTGATGGGGCTCTGATAAGCATCAAGGCTGTGTGACTTCTGGTTCTGATTCTACCCAATAGGGCCATCTCTCGGGCCCGTCTCAGCATTTCAGGTTCTCCATGCTGAATCACCCTTAGTGTTCAACGTTGCTATTTTCCTCCTGTACATGCAGCAGGCCTCCTGCTTTTTGGCTAAATAATGAAGGTTCAGTTTAAAAATAAGAGGCTGGGCGCGGTGGCTCACACCTGTAATCCCAGCACTTTGGGAGGCCGAGGCAGGCGGATCACGAGATCAGGAGATCGAAACCATTCTTGGTAACATGGTGAAACCCCGTCTCTACTAAACATACAAAAAATGAGCTGGGCATGGTGGTGCACACCTTGTACTCCCAGCTACTCGGGAGGCTGAAGCAGGAGAATAGGTTGAACCCGGGAAGCGGAATTTGTGAGCCAAGATTGCGCCATTGCACTCCAGCCTGGGCAATAAGAGCGAAACTCTGTCCCCCACCCCCCCCCAAAAAAAAAGAAAGAAAGAAAAGGAAAAGAAATAACGGGCCAAGTGTGGTGGCTCACCCCTGTAATCCAAGCACTTTGGGCAGCTGAGGTCAGGACCAGCCTGGCCAACATGGTGAAACCCCATCTCTACTAAAAATATAAACATTAGCTGGGTGTGGTGGGGGGGCATCTATAATCCCAGCTACTCAGGAGGCCGAGGCAGGAGAATTGCTTGAACCCAGGAGGCAGAGGTTGCAGTGAGCTGAGATCACACCATTGCACTCCAGCCTGGGTGACAGAACAAGACTCGGTCTCAAAAAATAAATAAATAAACAAAATAAAATAACAGAGGTACAAGTTATCAAAATCCTGAATTATAATGGATTATACTAAATAATGTGTTGTTATGAGAGATTTCTAAATAAAAACTTTTAAGTGTAAAATTGCTGTTTTTTTTCTGTGCACCAGTGTTGTCACCAATTCCTAATACCCTCATTTTCAGAGTTTCCTGAGTCACTTTCCTCACAAGACTCTTCCCAGAAATGCCTGTAACACACACTTAGGTATCCCCACAGACCATAAACTCCTTTGACAAACAAAAGAAAATGAAGTAAAACAGGATGCTCCAATTCATTCAGACTCATTACCTGATTGCCAGTGGGCCTAATGTCTACTAACTTTCATGCATCATTAGTTTTGTATTGTTGAAAGATTGCCAGTTGCTCCCCAGTGTCCATTCTTCTAACTCTTGTTACTCTAAATTATAGAATTGGGGCAAGAGTCACTCATTAAGAATACTCTTATTGTTGTACAGGTATGCTTTTTCTGCCTCTGTCGCCCAGGCTGGAGTGCAGTGGCATGATCTCAGCTCACTGCAACCTCCACCTCCTGGGTTCAGGTGAGTCTCCTGCCTCAGCCTCCTGAGTAGCTGGGATGACAGGCACCCACCACCACACCCAGCTAATCTTTGTATTTTTAGTAGAGATGGGGTTTCACTATGTTGCCTAAGCTGGTCTCAAACTCCTGGACTCAAGCAAGCCATCCACCTGGGCCTCCCAAAGTGCTGAAATTACAGGCATGAGCCACCAAGCCCGGCCACAAGTACTCTTTACATCAAAGCTGTATTAAATATAATAATTGTTTTTTTGAGATGGGGTCTTGCTCTGTCACCCAGGCTGGAGTACAGTGACGCGCTCTCGGCTCACTGTAAACTTTACCTCCTGAGTTCAAGCGATTCTCCCACCTCAGCCTGCTGAGTAGCTGGGACTACAGTGTGTACCACACATCCAGCTAATATTTTTGTTTTTAGTACAGACGGGTTTCACCATGTTGGCCAGGCTGGTCTCAAACTCCTGACCTCAAGTGATCCGCCTGCTTCAGCCTCCCAAAGTGCTAGGATTACAGGCCTGAGCCACTGTGCCTGGCCTTAAATATATATATTTATATTTATATATAAATATATATATTTATAAATATATATATATAAATATATATATTTATAAATATATATATATAAATATATATATATTTATATATATATATTTATATATATATTTAAATAAATATATAAAAATATTTATATAAAAAATATATATTTATATATATAAATATATATATATATTTGCGGGTGTGTGTGTGTGCATATGTATATTTTATTTTATTTATTTATTTTGGGATGGAGTCTTGCTCTGTTGCCCAGGCTGGAGTGCAGTGGCACGATCTCAGGTCACTGCAATCCCCGCCTTGTAGGTTCAAGCGATTCTCCTGCCTCAGCCTCTGGAGTAGCTGGGACTACAAGTGTGCCTGGCTAATTATTGTATATTTAGTAGTGATTCACCTGCCTCGGCCTCCCAAAGTGCTGGGATTACAGAGGTGAGCCACGGTGCCTGGCCTAATTATAATTACAATACTTAATCATATACTTGGCATTGCATATGGCCCCAGGATCTTCCCTAGGAACATTCATTTTTACTACAGATTGGTCCAAATTTGTCCTGAATCAGCCATTGCTGATTTTCTGAAGGCTGTTTTTCTGAATAAATATTCTTCACGATCTGTTTTCATATATCTACATATCTCCCATAAAAGAATAATACAATAAAAAATAGAATAATACAGGCCAGGTATGGTGGCTCAACGCCTGTAAACCCAGCACTTTGGGAGGCCAAGGCGGGTGGATCACCTGAGGTCAGGAGTTCAAGACTAGCCTGGCCAACATGGTGAAACCCTGTCTCTACTAAAAATACAAAAATTGGCAGGACACGGTGGCAGGGGCCTGTAATCTCAGCTACTCAGGAGGCTGAGGCAGGAGAACCCGGGAGGCAGAGGTTGTAGTGAGCTGAGATTGTGCCATTGTAGTCCAGCCTGGGCAACAACAGCAAGACTCCATCTCAAAAAGAAAAAAAAAGAAAGAAGTAGAATACGATTCAGGGCCAGGCACAGTGGCTCATGCCTGTAATCCCAGCACTTTGGGAGGCTGAAATGGGTGGATCGCAACGTCAGGAGGTTGAGACCAGCCTGGTCAATATGGTGAAACCCCATCTTTACTAAAAAATACAAAAATTAGTCGGGTGTGGTGGCGCATACCTGTAGTCCCAGCTACTTGGGAGGCTGAGGCAAGAGAATTGCTGGAACCTGGGAGGTGGAGGTTGCAGTGAATTGAGATTGGGCCACTGCACTCCAGTTTGGGCAACAGAGTGAAACTCCATCTCAAAAAAATAAAAGAAAAAAATAAAAGATTCAGAATAATTGATGTATGTTATTTTCTGACTACTATTTCTTCCTCTTCCTGTTCCTCTTCTTCTTCCTCTTCCTCTTCTTCTTTTGAGACAGGGTCTTGCTCTATCATCCAGGCTGAAGTGCAGTGGAATAATCATAGCTCGATGTAACTTTGAATTCCTGGGTTCAAGCAATGCTCCTACTACAACCTCCCAAGTAGTTGGTAGTAGAGGCACGTTCCATCATGCCTGGCCAATTTTCTTTTTATTTTTGTAGAGACATGGTCTTGCTCTGTCCCCTAGGCTGGTCTTGAACTCCTGACCTCAAGCGATCCTCCCACCTTGGCCTCCCAAAGTGTTGGGATTCCAGGTAGAAGCCACCATGCTTGGCCCCTGACTACTACTTCTAAGATAAATCTCTCATCTATACTCAGCAGTGTGGGTCTTGGCTGGTTGTGGTGGCTCATGCCTGTAATCCCAGCCCTTTGGGAGGCTGAAGCAGGTGGATCATGAGGTCAGGAGTTCGAGATCAGCCAATATGATGAAACCCTGTCTCTACTAAAAAAATACAAAAATTAGCCGGGCATGGTGGCACATGCCTGTAATCCCAGCTACTTGGGAGGCTGATGCAGGAGAATCACTTGAATCTGGGAGGCGGAGGTTGCAGTGAGCTGAGATCACGACACTGCACTCCAGCCTGGGCAACAGAGTGAGACTCCACCTCAAAAAAAAAGCCTGGCACAGTGGCTCACGGTTGTAATCCCAGCACTTTGGGAGGCTGAGGTGGGCGGATCACCTG